TCCTTAGGGTAGCTTACAAATAAACACTTATCAGATTTGGAGGATAACTTATCAGTCATCTGACGCTTCACATAAGCATCGCAACCCCAAATTCTGACAAACGAGAACGCGGGACACTTCCCCGTCCATATCTCATATGGCGTCGTTTCAACCGACTTCGTTGGACTCCTGTTCAACAGGTACGCAGCGGTCTCTAAAGCATAGCCCGAAAAGAACTTCGGAAGATCTGTCTGACTCATCATTGACCGAACCATGTCTAACAGTGTTCGGTTCCTCCGTTCAGACACGCTGTTCCACTGTGGCGTTCCAGGAGGAGTTAATTGTGACACAATACCACAATCAACCAGATAGTCAGTGAACTCTTGGCTCATATACTCGCCACCACGATCGGATCGAAGTGTCTTGATCGTCTTGCCAAGCTGGTTCTGTACTTCGTTTCTGAAAGCCTTGAACATTTCAAGTGTTTCAGACTTATGTCTCATTAAATAGACATAACCGTATCGACTGAAATCTTCAGTGAACGTAATGAAATACAGATAACCTCCTCTAGCTGGACAGCTCATTGGTCCGCATACATCACTATGTATCAGATCCAATAACTCTGTCGCTCTCTGTCCTTTCCCCTTGAAAGGATGCTTTGTTATCTTGCCCATCAAATAAGACTCGCAAGATTCAAGAGACTCAAAGTCAAATGAATCCAGAAGACCTTCAGAATGAAGCTTCTGAATGCGCTTCTCGTTTATATGGCCTAGACGACAATGCCAGAGGAAGGTCGGATTTAAGTCGTTCGGCTTAAACCGTTTAGTACTCACGCTATAGATAGATGATGTTGAGCTCGAAGGCTGATCATTCAAGACATATAAACAATTAACTAGATAACCATTACCATAGTAAATATCGTCTCGATAAATCATCAAACTCGAGTTCTCAATCACAAATCGAAAACCATCCAAATCCAGACAAGAAATAGAAATAATGTTTCTGCTAATTGCAGGAACATAGTAACAATTACTAAGTTCTAAAACAAGTCTAGAAGGAAGATGCAAATCATAAACGCCAACACACAATGCAGCACATGATTCGTTTCGTACCTGATACATGCCTTTATAGTCCTCCTGTTACGTAGGACGTTTGACGTATTCAAAGTACGCAACTTCTCATGTTGGATTCCGTAGATATCTCAGGTCTTAGGATCCAATCATGAAACTGTCGTGTGAGATTCAAGTCATGACGAAAGTCCATGTGACAATCTCATGCGGGTCAATCCAGTATTTCGTTCTCCAACGAATATCTATGACTATGATCGTATCCAATACCTATGATCATCTCTATGATCATCAATCATACATCATACTAGTCTTATTACATCATTATTCCAACAATGACATACGACTAGGGAGTTTAGTATTGTTCATAACAATATATGGATATCATAACATATTAAGTACGCAAAACATGTAATGAATAAAACAGTCATCCATAAACCATAGAAAGTGTCAATACATCAAATGTATCTAAATAAAGCTCGCATAACAATACATCATAGAGCACTAAACCAACAGTCTCTGTAATAATAACGATTGACAGCGTGGAGTCTGTTCTATTACAGAGAAACAGGGTGGAATCTAGTACCGGTAGATGAATTGAGTCAGTACTAGATGACATCAAAGGAAATGGTACCCAGTAGTGCCGATTGACGAATTAAGTCAGTACTATTAGGTATCGATGATGTGTGGTCGTCTCTATAATAGTACCGGTTGACGGCGTGGAGTCAGTACTATTACAGAGAAGCAGGGTTGAATCCAGTACTGGTAGACGAAGTCGAGTCAGTACTGGACGATATCGATAGGAATGATATCTGATAGTGTCGGTTGACGAATTGAGTCATTACTATCAGGTATCGATAATGCATGGAATAATAATAAAAATGAATTAAAATGGATTATTGAGTAAAAGTAAAATGGATAAACGAAAATAAGGAAATTCTTGTATTGAGAGATTAGTTGGCACCGTTCTCCATGAGAATGGGATCTCTGGGCTCAACCCGAGCCATTCACTAAGCATTATGCTTAGCCCTCCATTGTTGAATTTTTTAGATCCCGAAGAGCACAAGTATCCCACTTTGGACGACGACGAATTTGTGAAGGCAGCATCATGTACGGATATATTTTCCTTCTTTGTACGTTTTGAACTATGGAATACGGTTCCACATTTATACGGTTGTGTTTAATTACATTTTGGACATATGTTGTTTTTGAAAGACGTGTGATGTTTGATTCCGCTGTGTAATTGTATGGAAAAATGATTTTTAAATTCTTGTCTTTCGGTTTAGTATTGTTTTAATTGGTTTGGTCCATGTAACGTATCTTGTTCACGGAAAATGGGATTCGGGTGTCACAACTATGTCAGTCAGTTAGACAAGTGAGTCGTGCAGTCAGTACCGATCTACGATGTGGAGTCTGTACTGCTGTGTGGGTGAGTACCGAGGAACCATGTAATCATGTCGGTTGATGAATTGAGTCAGCACGATTATATTGGTGAGGACTAGTGTTGGTACCGATTGACAAATTGAGTTAGTACCACACCTCTGGGATTACCTGCGCGTCATCTGGGCAGTATCGGTTGACGAATTGAGTCAGTACTATCCTGTTGACGAGGATTTGACAGATCAACCCTATGATGTGATTATACGGGCATGATTGTGATTGTGATTTTGTTTGATGTGATATGAGGATATGCATGATGATTTATTTTTGTTTTATAATTATTGTTGTATCACCGTTCTCGTTGGAAACGGGATGACCGGGATCAATCCGAAGTACTTACTAAACAATTGTGCTTAGTCATAGGGGTTTTATTTTTTTCAAATCACGAGTAGCACGTGTAGCAATTTGGACGACGACATCGAAGAGGTAGCATCGCGTACGGATATTTCCCTATTGTATGTTTTGAACTATGGAACATGGTTTCCCCATTTGATGGTCGTGCTATTTTTAATTCGAACGTGTAGTGTTTTGAAAACAAACGGTTGAAATGTTTTAATTTCCGCTGTGTAAACTTGAGTAAAACGGTTTTAAACTTCCCGTAAATTATGTTATGTTATTTTATTGATTTTAGTCCATGTGGCGCATCTTATTCACGGGAAGTGGGATATGGGTGTCACATTAATAGTTTCGACTCTATTCAGCACAAAATTGGAAAATAGTTGTGGAATACAAATGAGGATATATCCGTAGCTATCAGTTCCTGTTAAAGTATTGAACAAAAACTCCTCCGGTGTTTATATACCTACATATTGAGGGGTGTCAATTGTAGCCCGAGGTCTGAAGTCCAGTCCGGCCCAATCCGAAAAATAGCGGGTTTTGGGCTGAGATATTAAGGCCCAAAAATTTTTGGGCTTTCGGATCGGCCTCGATTCGGGCCGGCCCGAAATAGCTCGATTTTAAAAAAAATCTTAAGAAAAAAAAAAAAAAAAGATTAACAAAGAAAATCATGCGGGCTGGGCCCTGACCTGACCCGATCCAAGCCCGAGATCTCTAGGGCTGGGCTTTGGGTTTGGTGATATAGGTTCGAAAAAAATCGGGTCGGTTCGAGCCCGAGCCCAAAACCTCGAGCCAAGAGCGGGTTCGGGCCAAGTGACACCCCCTACATATTGCACCGTGGAAGACCGCATATCACACGTACACAGTTGGTTTTCTCGACCCACTAGGAAACGAAAAGCGTGAAACATTTCGAGATTGTCCGTATACTTTTTTTTTGTTAATTTGTTCATTAAAATCCAAGTGGTTGTTTTAATAATTCGGTTGATTTCGGTTCAGGTAATTGTACGAAATATATTTGTTTTATTATAATTCGAACAGTGGAAGTCGAATGAAATCCCGAAAGCAACATTTACAGATTTTAATTTTACCCCTCGGGAGCTCTCACCATCGCACCTCTCTCCCTCCCCTACCATTTCAACTGACCGACAAACCCCAATCTCGAATCCAAAACTCAAGTTCCCGAAAATAACGTATCCGAGACCTCATACGCGTGCAACTCGGGCCCCCAAAATTCGGGTACCCAAGGCCGGCCGTACTAAGAGCGTCATATAATAATTTACCAAACTATGTCGTGTTTCGATTTGCCTTCTTTTCTAACAACCTCGTGGCTCATCCTCGGAGAATGAAATGACACGGTTAGAATTTAACCATTCTGCTGGCTGTTCATTGAACCAAAAATGACCTTTTTTTTCCCTCCTAAATTGTCAGATGTGGAATCTTACAAGCGAAAACCACATTTTGATTGTAAAGCAAAACAGAGAAGTTACAAAGCGAAAGTGGTTTGTTGGCTAAATGTTGGCTAATCGACCAGACCCAGACCCTCTCCTCCGTCTTCGTCTCCTCTGCCGGATTCTCCAGATGCTTACAAGCACCAGAAGACCTAAACACAACCACCAAACAAATACACAAAATCAGAAGATAAATGCAAAATACGGCTTTGGCACAGTGGCGTTTCACTCGAGTTAGATACTTAAACAAGAGAGAAAACAGATTTAAGCTTGGGAGTTAAGCTAGATGATCCCCTAGGCCACTGCGGTATTCACATTTCGCCCTCCTAAATTGGTTATGTTTGCTTTATATTCAGTTAATTCGACTAGACACAAATCAAAATCAATCATAATTTCATCGGCTCAATTGGGTTCTGTTTCGATCCATATGATGTTTATAAAACTGTTTGATTTGATGGAAGAACCTGCAAAACCAACCAGTTATCCACAGATTTTCCCCTCTCGTACAGGTCACAAAAACTTTAATTCAAATAGAAACTGAACCGGAAACCAGACTGCACTACTTAGGTTCAGTTTAAGTCCTTATCTTCATGTTTAAGTTATTAGAATGGATTCAGATAGAATTTGGTTTCCCTCAGTTTGGTTGCGGTAAACTTTTATGTAAATGCTGCTAACTGAACTGGGAATATTACTCAAATAACCCACTTGGGTCGCAGCAATTTCAGTGTACACCACCGAAAAAAAAAAAAAATTTTGCGACCTTATTACGACTAATATATAACTAATATACAACCTATTACGACTAACAAACTACTCTTATTTTAGTTGTATATTAGTTATATATTAGTCGTAATAAAGTCGCAAAATTTTTTTTTTTTCTGGGTGGTGTACCCTGAAATTGCTGCGACCCAAGTGGGTTATTAGGGTTAAAACCCCAACTGAACTTTATGTAAATGCTCACACCTATATGTTCTAAAAGCAAGAAGATTTTGATACCTACCACTTGCTGCAACACCTGCAGGTATGATCCAGCGGGTAGCAACAAGCATTGAAATGTCAATCTGGAAATTCAGCACAGTAAAAGCCGAAAATTTTCAGTTCCCATTTCTCAAACAAACAACTTCATATAAACGAGGATTACCGTTGATTAGATTGTCATTACCTCGTCTCTACTGATAAGGCGTCCCAAATACTTGTTGCCAGAAGAACCAATCACACCTTCCCTATGAGGTTTCCAACTTTTTGTTCTTACATTCTCCCATGTCGAATTCAAACCTTGACCAAGATCAATAACAGGATATCCAGGCAACCTTCGGTTCCTTCCTCTGACTTGTAACTTGTATCCCTTAGTTCCCCATACTTCGAATCTGGAATCACTCTGACATATTAAGTCCTTTCCAATCACTGAAGAGTATAATGAGAAATTGACATCAGTCCTCCGGGATGGTAGCTGGTTGTCGCCAGTATGCAAGGCTGTCTTTCTCTTTACAGATTTCGAGAACAGCACGGAATCTCTCATATTCGAACTGGTAAAATCTATTATCTTCTTCAGGAGCCAATAGCAGTTAGTGACCATGTGGCTACTGTCCAGACAGTTGGAGTCTCCGTAAACAGTGACCCGACCCTCGCCTATTTCCAAAAGTCCAAGGACAGAGGGGTCTGCCTGCAGATAGAACCAACAATAACTTGGTTGGATGAGCCTCATATTACAAAGAATGACACCATAAGAGAACAAGCATGCACGAATTCATCATTCTTTTTGTAATCCAAGCTAGAGGGAACAGTTAGATCTTTCTTCTTACCTTAGATGACCCAATTAGCAGTACATTCTGAGTGGCCCCGCTCTCGGAGCTGTCGAGTAAAGGAAAACTGTGTAGATAACCACCTGCTGGAAACCTAACTATGTCTGTTCCAGATGCGTACCGGCTCTGCTCACCGTCAATACTGAAATCTCCATTCAGAATTTTGTCTCCAAATGCGATCCCAAACGGCGCAAGAAGGTTGTTCAGTGCAGGAACATTTGCACCTCCAGTGACTGGAGTCCACCAACTGCGTGTGTTATCATCGAAGAATCTCATTTTCACCATGGTTTCCACATTATACCACTCAGCAAATACCGCCAAACCGAGTCCTGTGTTGATGACATCATCTCTGAGTTTTTCAATTTCTTCCGGGAAGTACTCATCTTCCAGATCAACCATCAAAAGGGTTCCATACTGTCGAGCATCAAAACATGTAAGTGGAGAACCAAGGGTCTCGACATAGTATCCAGCATCACGCAACATGTTGAACATTATGTGAAAGTTTGTGTGCAGGTGATCGCCATGCCAATCAAGAATATCATTGCGAACATCCAAAGAGTCTCTTGGGATATAGCCTGGAGGATATTTGATACTGTGAAATTGATCCCACAAAATACGTTTTGCTCTTGACGGGGTAGGAACTACTCTCAATTTCAACTGAAGAGTACAAGTACTTCTTCTAAGCTGATTCTCACCTTGAGCTGAGGGGCTATAAACTTTCACAGTCACATTGCCCTCGATCTCACCTGAAAATTGCGCACCTTCTTCCTTGATCTGCATGTATAATGCTAAATAACCAGTCCAAGGCCATATGATATCTGAATACTTAAAATGAATGCTAAGGAGATTTCCTTCCTCATTTGCAGGATGCCACGTTGGTGGACTTTCAACATACCCAACAACACCCATGCCATTTAGAATTGTAGTGTTGAAAATGATAGGCATGGCACCAGCATATAGAGGCTGACGACAAAAAGGCCAGGAATATGGACAATCAGTGTAATCAAGAACACTTGGGAAAATGCTTGCTCGAGGTTGGTAGCTCTTCAAGATTTCGTAAGATTCTAATCTGACAAAAAATCGAACGATTAGGGACGTGGTAAACAACATGGATACTGCATCATAAGAAAGGAAATATCTAAAAAGAACTTACAGATCAACTCTTCCTGCGCCCTGCTCATACATATTAGGGCCTGAAAGCTTGGCAGCGCCTTCGACCAGTGCTTGCTTCATGCTTGCTGGATTGAGCAGCTCCTTCCTTCTAGCTTCGGGAATCACACTTACAAGTAAACAAACAATACCAGCGACAACAGGACTAGCCACGCTAGTTCCTGATAAGCTTTTACAGCCTGTACTAATCTTGGACCCCATAATTTCACGGCCATATGCAACCACATCCGGTTTGACACGTCCATAACTATAAAGAAAAATTTCATGTTATTTCTACCATTCAAGGAATATTGTACAATTGTTGAAAAACTGTTGCCAAAGGTATCAAACAGAAAAATTAAAAGATTTCTGAGACTCACAGCAAGGAACTACCAAATATTCATAATCCCTAACAAGGATTGGGCTAACATTATTAAAGAGGAACAATGCACATGAAGGCAAAGGTAGCAAACACCTAGATTATTGCTATGTAACATAAAGTGTGCAAATCTCATTCCTCAAGAAAGCTAAAAAGCAGCCAAAATTTCTAGCCAATTGTTCCTTGATGAGGAAATCTTTATTTAGTCAAGGCCCGTAACTGATTAATCAACTATCACGTCTCAGGTCAACTTAGTGCCAGTTCACTATACAGCCAGTAAAAGCTATCGGTTTCAAACACAAGGATATAAGGGAATGCTGAAACATGTTTAGAAGAAATAAGACCGATAAAAAGACCTGGCAGCACCTATTAAGGCAGATAAGCAACAATGCAAGAGTTGTTTGCAAATCAAGCACAGGACACAGCATTTGTATGTCAACAATTGTAATATTAGTAAAAATGAGTACAACAGCTGAAATGAAGATACAGTACCCATGAGGAATCTCCCAGGTACTCATGCCGCGTGACGAAAATGAAGCGATGTGATCGTCATAGTCAATACCACCAACACCTATGACATCACTTTGATCAGCTGGATTGTTCAAAGTGCCATAAAGTGGTCCATCATTTCCAATTGCAGATACCATAATGATATTACTGGCTGTTATTTCCCACACCTGTTTGAAGATAATCAGCAACTCAGAAAGAAACATAGTGCATAATACATCTAAGACATAGAAAACCCACCACGCGGTGGGATAAAATTACTTAGCATAACCATGAGATAATGAAGCCTTACCTTCTCTACGAATGGAAGATCCAAGTAATCAGGACCACCAATGCTCAGATTCAGTACATCCATATTTGTTGCAATGGCATAGTTAAATGCATCAAGAAACCAAGATGTGTAAGATACCTGAAACAAGCTGGACACAAATTTCTCATAACCTGTTCAAACACTTGTAGCTTATAGAGTAATAGATAATGGGTGAAGAGACGAGGGAAGAAAGAAGACCCTCTGATCATTATGTTTCTCAAATGCACATCCATCACTTGTATTGCTCCCGGCTAATGAAGAGTAATGCTTAGGTCTATCTTAAGCCATATTACTTTGCTCACATTCATAAGTTGAATCAAAGAAACACGAACAGAAATTACCAGACCATAATTTAGTCAAAATAAAGTTGAAGCCCTATCCACATAATGACAGATTCCACTAAACGTGGCTGCCAAACCTGTTGCCTAATCACGCATTACCTGGGCATCAGTGAACACTCGGAAAGCATAAATTTCTGTATCTGATGCAAAACCAAGACATTCTGTATTTTGACCAGCAATAACACCAGCGACAAATGTTCCATGCCCCAGGTTGTCATTCAAAGTATCCTCATTTGTCCAATTTGTACGCTCCTGGAAATTATTGAGTCAATACCACCTTCAGAGCTTAACAAGAATAGATATAGAGAATCCAAAAGTGAATTACTTTACACTTTCAAACAACAGTGCATTCGCCTCAAAAGTTTGAGATATGCAACAACTTAATCTCTTATTCCAACTGGCAATACCTTGATATTCCGGAAATGAGGATGATCAGCACGTATTCCAGTGTCGAATATGGCCATTTTGACCTTACCACCAGTGCAACCCTTTTCCCAAAGAGCATCTGCTCCAAACATGGACGTAACTTGAGTCTTCTGCATCATAGCAACAAAACTTATTGGCTTCCCGACTACTTTTGGGCAGTAAATACCTTAACCAAAGGGAATTACGATATCCGACGTTCTCTTACATTCTTCATCAACAAGTAGAAGACTGATTCTCTACCAAAACAAGCTCATAACCACACACAGGGAACGACGGATCGAACTGACAATGAATAAGAAAACCACAGTTCGGCGAATCTCTCACCTGTCCGAGAAGATGCCGGCCCCAGTTTATCGTGGAGTTACTAGTAGAGGCGACTGCATACTCCCCTTCGTTAAACGACATGGAAGTGAATATCTTTCCCGGACGTTTATTACCATCGACAAAAGACCCTGCAAGCAAACTTCTCTGGTACATGAACTCCACATTAACGTCCTTTACTATTACCAGTTCCTCAATCTCTCTGATCACGGAATCTTTTTCCCTTTCCTCGATCCAGATAACACCAAAATCTGTCGGAAACTTTGCCGCCGGGTTCCTCCTCTCGATCCATCCCCAACCACCGGATCGGACCTCCGATTCGAGGTACAGACGGTGATTCTCGGTTGATTTGTACTCCTTGAACCGGACTATGTAGTTGTTCCTCGGGGCGATTTCAGTCTCCGGTCGAGTTACATTCGCCAGATTCAGGGTTTGGTCCCAAGGCCGGTAGATAATGGAACGGAGATAGAGGAGAGATATGGGGAGGAAGACGACGAAGAAAGATGAAGAAGCTCGGGGGTTCCCGTTCATGGCGAAGCCGAAGAAGGGGTGAATTAGGGTTTGATCAATGCTACAGCCAGGTTCACAGACGCGAGTGCCATTGTACGAACCGAGAGAGTTGCTTCGCAGCTTTGTTTCTACGTTTTCTGGTCCCGTGCAGAGTACGATGGTCTTCGCAGAAGCGTCGGCCGAGACTCCAAGTAAATGTTGAGCCGGGTATTTTACTCGATTGAATCTTGGTCGCGTGAATTTCACCTTACACCACCGAAAACATAACACATAACGTATTAAATTTTCTCTTAAAAATGCATTACCTTAATGATTCCGTATAATTTATTCACTCGAAAAAAAAAATTATCATTACGACATCATAATTAATTCTAAATATAGTTGTAATTGATTCTAAATGAACTGACGAAAAATTCATCTGTCGAATTTCAAAAATAATACTGTTATATGTCATATGATCATAAATATTTTTTATTTTAGTAATATACTAGTTATATAGTAGTCGCAATAAAAATCGCAAAAAATATGAGAAAAATGATCCATCAGACTTTTTCATCGAAAAAGTGTTATAAAATTTTTTTTTTTTTTGGTTTAAATGTGCTTGTATTACTTTCTAACCGAAGAAAAGAGTTTTACGAAAATATCAATATATAAGAAAGGGATTCTCATACGCAGACACGCATAACAAAATTTTACAATTTCAAAAGTCTAGCTTAGTCGATACCAATGTTGGAGGAGTTCATTCGAACTTGTATTCTTTGGATCCTGCAAAGAGTAGAGGATGTTTCTCATCGACCTATCAATCTTATGTCGAAGGAGGGAGGTGGAGGTTCTCAATTCCCCTGTGGATTCTGTTGTTACGTTCTTTCCAAATCTCGTACGCGACAAGCTGCATAAGCAACATCATAATGAGATGATGAGGTGACTGTGGATCGTGGCCAGCCTGTCTCAACAACGCTTGACAATCGAAGATGGTGAGTGGCCTACTTCCTAGCCTCCCTGCGAAAAACTCCCACACAGAAAAGCTGTATTCACAAGAGTAAAATAAATGCTCAAGTGATTCCTCATCTCGACAACAAAGAATACATCGGTTTGGACCAAGGATTTGTTGGTTGTAATGCTCTAGGATGATCCGTGATATGACATTTTGACTTTGTATTGATTCATTGATTTATGAATGCATTACATTCCCGTTATATGATTGGCATGTTTGTTATATTTCGGTATCCTTGAATCATTACAGAATGATTCTAAACACCCTGGTCAGTTATCATTGTGGGAACAATGATGAATTAAGACTAGCATGAGGTGTGATCGATGCATTGGATGCATTTCACAATCATGGGTACTCGTTGTGAACGAGTGACTGGTTGACCCGCATGAGATTGTCACATGGACAGAGTCATGACTTGAATCTCATAAAGCGGTTCGTTCTTGGATCCTCAGACCTGAGATGTCTAGAGTATCTGATATGAGGAGTGACGTGTCTTGACTGCGTCAAA